TGAAGTAGAAGGAGGGGGAGGGGAAGGAGAGGAAAGAAAAGAAGAGGAAGAAGAGGAGGAGGAAGAACACAGGAGGACTGACACTATTTAACTTTAAGATTTAATATGATGCTACAGGAATCAAGACAATGTGGCACTGGTGAAAGAACAAATATATCAGTGTAACATAATGAAGAGCCCCCAAATAGACCTACATATATAGAGTCAACTGCTCTTTGCCAAAGGAGTAAAAACCATTCAGTGAAGAAAAGAGATACTCTTTCCAACAAATGGTGCTAGAAGAGTTGTAACCTATATATTAAAAAGATCTAAACACAGAGCTTAGACCTTTCACTAATTTCACGTATCATAATTAACTCAAAATGGATCATAGAACTAAATTCAAAATGCAACACTGTCAACTATATGACCACTGGGAGACAATATAGGAAAAAATCTAGGTGACGTTGGTTTTAGTAATGAGATTTTAGATGCAGCACCAAAAGCACAATCCATGAAAGGAAAAAACTAAAAAGTTAGAAATTTATTAAAAGACACACTTCTGCTCTATGAAAGAAAATATTTGCAAAATGCATATCCAATAAGGAATTTGCAATGAAAATATACAAAGAATTCTTACAAGTCAGCAATAAGGAAACAAGTAACCCAATTAAAAACGGGCAGAAGACCTAACAGACACCTAACCAAAAGTATACGTATAGCAAATAAGCATATGAAAAGATGCTTGACATGACATGTCGTTAGGGAACTGCAAATTAAAATGATAATGAGATACCACTATACTTCTATTAGATGGCTAAAATCCAAAACACTGGCAATATCAAATGTTTGCAAAGAGGTGGAGCAATAAGACCTCTCATTCACTGCTGCTGGAAATGTAAAATGACACAGGCACTTTGGGAAGAAAGATTGGCAATTTCTTTTCAATTCCAATTCTAGGTATTTACCCAATTGAGTTCAAAACAAAAATCTGTTTATAGCAGCTTTATTCATAATCACCCAAAACTGGAAACAATCAAGAGGTTCTTCTGCAGGTAAATGAATAAAAAAACTGAAATATTCATACAATGCAATATTATTCAGTGATTAAAAAAAAGCAAGCTATCAAGCCACGAAAAGACACAGAGGAACCTTAAACACATATTGCTAAATGACGGAAGATGGTCCAAAAAGGCAACCTACTATCTGATTCTAACTATATGACATTCTGGGAAAGGAAAAGCTATAGGGACAATAAAAAGGTCAGTGGTTGCCGGCGCTCAGATTGAGGGTGGGGGATAAACAGATGAAACACTGGGAACTTGTAGGGCAGTGAAACTATTCTGTATAATACTGTAATGATAAATATACGACATTATGCATTTGTGAAAACCCACAGAACTATACAAAGACTGAACCTTAACAGAAACTACTGACTTCAGTTAGTAACAGTGAACCAATCTTATTTCATTAATTGCAACAACTGTACCACACACTAATGCCAGATGTTCCTGTGTGTGAGTACTGGGCAGGCAGCTGGGATATGGGGATTCTATTATCTGTTCATTTGTTCTATAAATTTAAAACTGTTCTAAAAAGCACTCTATTAATTAAAAAAAATGATTAGCATGTGATGAGTTTGAAAAAGAAAATTAGAGAACCCGTAAGAATAAAGGTGAGACTAATTAGAAAGCTACTAAGGTTAAGTTAGAGAATGATGGTGGTTTAAAATAAGGTCAGAGTGATGAGAATGAAGTGAAATTTAAAGATTCAAAATTCAGAATACTGGGAGGAGGCGGACAAAGAGACAGAGACAGAGACAGAGACAGAGAGAGAAATGTTTATAGAAGGGTGAGTGGGAAGAGATGACAGATAAGAGGAGACAAGCTGATCCCTCAAGTTTCTGGATTGGCAAAAAAGAAGTCTTCAGCAATCATCAACACACCACTATGATACTAGAAAGAAATATCCATGGGTATTATAGAGATTCAGCTTGCTTAGAATCAATAAACATTGCTAGTAATCTTGCTAAAAAGAATAGACTAGAACTATTTTAAAGTTTTCTATGGAATTCCAAAGGCTTATAGAGACTTAATAGTCTATCATGATGATAGAAGATGCTTAATACAGAACAGTATCTAAATGATTTTCCTTTGTAGTCAGACCTTATGAAACATGGATTTTGATCGTTCTACTCACGATGGATATAGAAATGATGATGTGGACCACTCTGGTAACTTTAAAAATTCAGTATTTCTACTTAGCAATGGTAAAACAGACAGTTTACCTGTGGTTTCAAGGAAGGAGACTTTCTGTGATGTCAGCAGTGGGGCAACAGCAACACCTTCTTAAAGTCCATGTCTCTTTGTCCTGGCTCACACTCCTGTTGTCGAAATCTGTGATAAACGGAGCAGAAGAGATTTATTGGTATGCTTTCCTATCATATTAGACAAGATATACAGAAATGGATGCTTGAAATACTCATTAATAAGACATGAGTTGTCAGCATTATATAGTTGGGCAGGCTAAATCCAGTATGATTAAGGGCTCTCATCTTAAAGGTAATTTGCACTAAAAGGTAGGCAAACAGCCAAAAGCCCGTAACTGTACTTGCATTAGAAGGACTTGGAAGGAAAAGAGAAGACACATTTTGTTTCACGGTCTTGGTTTACAGGAAATGCCTATTTGTGTGTGTGTGTGTGTGTGTGTGCGTGTGTGTACGTACATACATACACATACGTATGCATGCCTACACCTGCATGAAAAGTTAAAAAAGAGAAAAATAAAAAGCCACAGCAGAGGTATATTGTACCTCTATTTTTCACTCAACATGAACTATGTGATATTCAGGAAGAAGAGAGTTAAATTCAACCAACATTTTTGGCCTACTGCAAGGAATCCATAGAAGTAGAAACATGATGCATTTTACTTGATGACATTTATTTGAAGATTTTGTTCAAATGATCAAATAAGCCATTTTGGACATTTACTTGGCTCAGCTTATCTAACATCGCTGACTTCATAAAAGTGATTTCCTGTAAAACATCAAGTCAAATTTATTCATTTTTGTGGTCAGATTTCTCAACCAGTTGGAATTGCATTCATCTCCATGTAAAGAAAACCGTATTATAATATGGTCTAATTTTGTTCAGAACAAGAGAACAAGGAGTCCAGAGATAGGAGCCCCAGGCTGTGGAGCAGTTTCATTATGCCAGTAATGCCCACACAGCCTCTCTGTCTGCTCCCTCATTCTTATTATGTGGTTTCTTCTTCCTACTTGTTGACTCAGAGTTTATAAGAAGGTGTTTCAGTCTTAAATTTACATTCTAGGGAAAAAAAGGCAAAGACACACAAAAAGAATACACGCCAGCTCAAGCTGTCTTTATAAAAATTTTAAAACAGGAAAGCCATAGCACTTCCAGAATCCCAATCCAATTGACTTTTGTTTACACCTCACTGCCTAAGGCTGGGTCACATGACTACCCATAGCTGCGAGGCAGCTGAGGGGTCAGGTTTTCCTCTAGTATGGGCATCCTGCTGTCCTAAGCCAACTTACAGTCCTGGTTGTAGTAAGGGGCAGAAGGTTTATACACCGAGCCAGATCAACAACTTTCTTTCCACTCTAAACCCCACTAGCCTCCTCATTCTCACTTTCACACTTTGAAAGTATTCATATTCACCTTTCTGAAGCCAGTGACACTTGAGGAATAGTTGTTTTCTTGTCTGGGTACTTTGGCAAAAATAAAGACCCATTCTTTCAGAGAGGAAACAGAAGTTCTATAACCAAAATCTTCTATGATTAGAATACAACCAAATACAATAGAAGACAAATACTAATAGAGCCAACAGCAGGCTACATGTTATGACTGGGCACAGACGCATCCATAGTCTCTGATAATACCATGACATCACAAAGACCTGGAGAAAAATCTGGGTTCCCCATAACCACAATCGGTGTGACATCCTAGACGTTCTCACTTGTTTGCTAGAGTGGGTAAGTGTTAATACTAATTTTTTAAGAAGCTGGGTCTTGTGTGTATTATGATTTTTTACAACTACACTTACTTACCCTATTTTTAGATGTCTTATAATGCAAACGTAACTCTTTTTCTCAGCATAGGCAGGATATTTCTCAGACTCCTCTATTGATTTCCAACCCATTCCTCAGCTCCAGGCTCAACATGTGTAATGCCATAAATCCAAGTCAACAAATGAATTGGTTATGCATTTTACCACAGAATCAAGTGAATTCTTTCCCTTACTTTCCTTTCTTCTTTCCCTTCTTCCTTCCTCCTTCTGGAGTATGGTATGAACAAGCATGAAAGAATTTTTAAAAAGTCTTGGAAACTGGAATCACATGTGTCACTTGGACAGTGTCGGAATTCTAGTGCTAATTTGTAAAGTTCACTCAGAGATTTCATAGTGATTCACATTTGATTTTTAATTGTGAAATTTCTGAAAGGTTATGCATACAAACCTAGACACTGCCAAAGAAAGAGATAATTAGGATAAAAATACTTGGTTAATACCAACAAGACTACATCTAAAACTGAAAAAGATGCAAACTTCTATATTCCAATTCAAGAACTCAATTCGTTAAGAATGAAATATAAGATAAAAACAATCATGCTTCGCCATAGTTCAAATTAACCAAGCACTGGCTTAGCAAAAGTCAGGAACCTAACAGGGTTTGCTTCTAGAAAAATAAAAAATTCAGTACCCACCTAAATCAGGTGACAGGCTCCCTTTATCTGTGTTGATTAGATCACATTTAGTATGCAAAAGAGTGTTTAATTCTGGTATCTGGTATCTGGACAAATAAATAGAGCAAGTCCAGAAGACAGTCAAAATAACAGAGGCCTGGGAACCATAGCATTTAAGAAAGATAAAACTGTCGAAAGAGCTGAGAATTCTTAACATGAAGAGGAATAACACTGATTTTGGAGGACAGGAAAGTGGTACAGTGTAGATAAATAGAAACAAAGTATTCACGGGAAAAGAAGCTTTTTTTCTTTCTTTCTTTTCCCCCAAAGCAAATGATGACACTTTTTGCTTAAACCCTCGCTGGTTTCCCAATGTATTCTATCCCTGAAAACATCTGGCCCTGCACCTGCTGCCCCTCATCGTGCCACCTGCTTTCATGCTGACTTCTGTGCACCCATACCGACTTCCACTGGCTCTCTGACATGCCAAACCATTCCTGATGGTGTCCTTTAGAGAGGACTTGACGGCCACTTTCTCTAAAGGAGTATTCTGTCTCTCTCGCGCACTCCTGATGCACTCTCTGGTTTATGTCCTTCCCTCTCACTGCAGTCTTGTTTACTGACTCATTTCTTCATCGCCTCCACACTAGAACACATTCAATGAGGGCAGAGAACCCTCATTTTTACTCACAAGTGCACTCCTGAGATCGAGAACAGTGTTTGGTGCACAGCAGTTGCCCAGTAAATATTCATCAGTTTAATCAATTATACCAGAAGGCAGAATTTGTCTCAAAAAAGAAAATTGTAAGGCAGTAGGGCTTATTTTAATACAAGGAAGAACAGGATAAAAATGTGTAGAGGCAAAAATACAGTTGCCTCCCATGAGTCTTGAAGCTCAGACTGAAAGTTGACCTAACATAGTTGCTTTAGAAGCAAGGTGGAAATAAGTTAGAAAACTAAATAAGCTGATCTCACACATCCTTTCCACCATATGAGTCTATGACACAAATCAACCATGCTATGAGTTCCTTGAGAGGAGGGATTTTTAATTCATTTTTATACTCCCAGTGAAATACCTGGCTCAGATTTTTAAATAAAAAAGTCATTTTGAATTTAATCAATACTGTCAGCTATATTAATAACTACGTATCCATCAGGGTCTGGTCAGGACAGAGAAGCTGCACAAGCGAATTGAACAGGGAATGAAGAACTGTTAACTACAGTGGTTCATCCTGGTGAAACGTGGCTAACAACTGATGGGGTGAGCAGAAGGTGAATAGAAGGAACAGCCGCAGGGAGCAGCTGCCTCCCCAAGGTGCTGGGAGAAAAGTGAACAAGGAGGAACCTACAGGTTACAAGGGTGAGACTCAGACCTCTTAAGGACATGAAAGGACCACAGTAAGGACCCCTCACCCACCTGTACAGTGAAACCTGCAGGGCCTGCCACTGACTTAGCAACTCACCACCACGCAAAAACCAATACCCAAGAAAGAACAGAGCCCTCCTTCCTCCAGCCTAGCAATCTTCCTCTGTGCTCGATGCTGGCGGAGCCTAACCTCAAGCCCCTGGTGAAGAAGAAATGTTGTTTGTTGAATTCAGTTCCAATAGTACAGAGTAGGACAAAGGAGGGTGGGTTTTCTGCTAAGACGCAGTACATTAATGACTGGCACACTCCCAGCTTTTCCCCCCAAGTATTTAAGGGAGTTTTCAAAGGATCACGTCCACTACCAACATAAAACAAGTACCTAAGTGAGTCGTTAGAAATATATAAAAGCAGGAAAACGAAGGCGAATCCAGGGGTTTTATGGACTCACAAAATACATGCTTTCATGGCTGGTACCTGTTTTGTACACATTACTGAACTTAACTCTCACAAAATCCTTGCAAAACAGGTATTATCCTCAATTTTATAGGTGAAGAATCTCCCTGAAAATCAAGTCCTTTTTTAATTGCAGGGCCAAAAATGGTTACACGCCAAAATTTATAATTTCCATTATATCGAACTACCTCCTTGGGATGTCTGTGGAGGTGAGACATGATTAGGAAGACATTCAGAATGGAAGGTGCTGCCTTTGCTCTTTATTTTTTCCTTTTTATTGCTCTGCTATTTTTCATAGGCAAACTTCCTCACCAACACTGCTAGCACAATGATGTATTAAAATGAGATGTGGGAACCCAGCAAGTGTAGTACAGCATTCCATATAGGTGGAACTAGCACACAAACCGCAACATTTCTCGTGGGAGTAGTAGAATCCAGTTTCTCTATCCAAAAAGAAAAAAATGAGGAATGTGTAGCTCTAGATCTATTGGTACTCAAAGCTAAGCTTTCAAGCCAGCAAATCAACAATTAATATTTAAAGAAGAAATAAAAGCCAGGTCAGCAGCAAGCATCCTTTAGAAGTCATCACAGAGACTATTTTTATTGAAACTTTCATTTTGTTGACCCATTTTTATGACTTTTATTATAGGATACCTTTAGTCATACACTCAAGAGCATCACTTCAAAACTCCTTTAAGAAAAAGATAAAAATTTCAGGCACCACTGAATTTTTTACCAGTGTTCATTAGAAACTAAACAATAATGGTGAGTCAAACTTGAGTGCAAGGAGAAAGCAACTGGTCTTGTGTGCAAGGAAAATGCCACACAGGGTTCACCTGAGTAAGAGAGACGGTTGTTATTATCGTCCAGACTAAG